AGAAGATATCATTAGAAAATGAACAATATGCATAGTATCAATGCAATGGGACTTGCTGTTTTCAACAAGAATTCAAAAATATAATTTTTAACCATAAATGATTGTGGTTTTTAACGAAGAAAATATCACTTTTTACCAAAAATGACAAAAATATTCACCAAAATTAGAGAATTGAAGATATCATTACAAAATGAACAAATATGAGAGAGATCCACATGTAGTACCTATATATGTAATATCAAAGCAATTGGATTGCGGTTTTAACAAGAAGTTGAAAATATCACTTTTTACCAAAAATGACAAAAATATTCACCAAAATTAGAGGATTGAAGATATGCAAAACAACCTGTAACAAACAAATCAAATATTGTTATAATGGAGTAGTATATAGGTGAACACATTGTTGTCTCATATGTATGTTGTACATTACAGCAACCACATGACATGTCAAATGTGTAATGTCGAAACCATAGCAGCATACAATGTACAATGAATACATACTTTGCTTTCTCTTGTTGGAAATATACTCTTTAGAGTTGACGATCTTCTTTTAACAATTCAAACTCTTCTTCCAATGCAGCTTGAACTTGCGCACTACCAATGATTTCTTTGACAACATCTTCAGTTAAAAATCGTCTTAGAACCCTAATACAACCATCAAAACATTACACAATAGTGACTAACAGATTCATACACACTTTACAACTTAAGAACACATCAAAGTTAAAAGCTAGTTAGTGGCAGAATGAGTTCCTGTTATTACCTATCACTGGTGTAATCAAATTTAAATCTCTTTTCAAAGGCTTGATTTGATGGTTTCATGGAAGGCATATCTTGGAACTCTACATGAGCACCATCTAGACCATCTTCACCATATCTCAGCTGTACCAATGCATCATTACTATTACGTACAGTACCATCATATCGTACCATAACACTTTCCATAGCTTTAATCAAACGTCGCTGGATATACCCTGCAATAAAAAATGTTATTTTAATATTAGTACAAAAATATATATTAACATTCAGTTTCATCGCACCACACATAATGCTATAAGGGTTCTCCCCAAATTTAAATTTAAGATAAACAATTATAACAATAGATACAATGTAGATGATTAGCATATTTTATTAATGTGTAAATTAGACAATAGGCTATGCTATTTTCCTGGGGAAACACTGGCTATCATTTATTACAAACATAGAATGCACCGATACTGCTATGTTTCTTACCAGTTTCGGCAGTTTTGACAGCAGTATCAATAAGACCTTCACGTCCTCCCATAGCATGGAAATAAAATTCTGTAGGTGTCAAACCAGCAAGATAAGAGTTCTCTACAAACCTTCTACTTTCTGGACCATAATCATCTTTAATGAAATGTGGCAGTATTCGATGGCGGAAACCAAATGGGATACGTTTACCTTCAATGTTCTGTTGACCCACACAAGCAATAACCTTGGAAAAACAAGTACATGTCCATATTGAGAGATATTGCTCTGGAACAGCATTCAAAATCAGCCATTTTGATTACATGTATATATATATAACTTATAACGAATATATAAAATTTAAATATAACAAGTCATTGAAAATGACACAGTCCCCGTTAAGTTCTCTTTGTGCTTGTCATATTAAAGCGGAGGTTGTCGCAAGCGTGTCCTTGAAACTTGAGTTCCAAGTGGCGTATACAACAGATTGTTTATTTACATGAAAACACGTGTTTCGTGTCATAGTAATATGGCCAAAATAAAAACAGCCGTTATTCAGCCATCTTTGATCTGAATATGAAACACAGAGATATGTAAGATGTATGTGCCAAATACGAATGAAAATGGTACATAAATTGTGGAAATATAGTAGTAAGGCCAAAAAGTCAGATGGCTGTCAAACGGCCATCCTTGACCAGATTTTGAAACAAATTGTCATGGACATGCATCCTAACATGTATAAAGTACATGTATTTGCCAAATTTGAATGAAAACTGACAGAGCACATCCAAGATACCGCATAAAAAAACAAAAACAAGATGCCTGCCAGTCGACCATCTTTGATCCAATTGCGAAATATATCGTCATGGACATGTATCCTAACATGTATAATCTATGTACCAAGTTTGAATGACAACTGACAAAGCATGTCCAAAATACAACATTTTCAAAAAACAAGATGGCTGCCAGTCGGCCATTTTGAATCGAATCGCTAAATCACTGCATGTGCATATGTCCCACATAAGGTACTAGGCACATGCAAAGAATGAACGGAATCGGTCCACAGGATTCTGAAA